GGGATTGGGAAAGGAGAGAGGAGAGAAGAGAGGGAAGGAGGGGAGGGATGGGGAAGGGGGAGACCCCGCAATAACAACCTATGGAGACCCAGGACAGAGGCTATCAGTGCCTGCGATGTCCGCTGCACCTGAATAAATCGCCCGCCATTAGAGTGGCTCTCTCCCTCTCCTCTCCTCTCTCTCCTCTCTCTCTTCACTCTCCCTCTCCTCTCACTCTCACTCTCACTCACTCTCTCACTCTCACTCTCTCTCTCGGACTGTTGTTGTTATTTTTGTTATTTGTTATTTGCTACAATGATGTTTTTGCTACAGCTGTTGTCGTTTCCTGTTACCGCTTCCGTTGCTGTTGCTGAATCTGTTGCTGCAGCTGACGACATGGGCGCAAGAGCCTTTTCACTGCATTGCGCAACAGCATTGCAAGATGAAGTCAGGGAGAATCATCAGATAATGGAAGATTAAGAAAAAATATTAGAGATGTGGGAGGAGCATGGACCAATCGACCGCTTCTGCTCTTCCTCTTTTTATCCTTTGTCTTCCTGTTCCCCTTTCTAACCATCTTCCTTTCTCCTCTCCTCTCATCATCTCCCCTTCCTCCTTCGTTTTAATCCTCTCTCCAATCCTTTCTCTATCTATCTCCTCCTCCTCACTCTCCTTTCTCCTTCCGTCTAATCCCCCTCCTCCTCCTCCTCCTCTCCTTCCCCCTCCCCTTTCTCTATCTATCTCCCCCTCCTCATGCGCCCCTCCCATCCCCTTCCTCCCGCCCGCCCCTTCCCCCTTCCCCCTCCCCCCTCCTCCACCCTGCTTTCAACGGCTGCAATAATCATCGTTCCAATATTCCCATTCCAGGATTCCTCTCGGCCAATCCGGAGAGGACTGATAGCCTCCTTAAGCCGTTCCAACATCGTCATGGTAATTGACATTGTCACTTGAGGGGCAAGAATGTGCTTCGCCTCCTCCCTCCTTCCTCCTTCCCCCTCCCCCCTATCCCCCTAACCCCCTTAACTGCATCTCCCTCCCCCTAAACCCCTTCCCTCTTGCCTGCATCCCCCCCCTCTCCCCACCCTTCTCTCCTTCCTCGTGCCTCTACCCTTCCCCCAATCCTCTCCTTTCCGTTATGCCTATCCCCTCCCCCTTCTCTCCTCCCCCATCCCCTGTTCCACCACTCTTCTTCCGCCTATCCCCCCCATTCCCCTCTCCCCACGTCCTCATTCCACTACAACCTAACCCCAACTCCCCCTCCCCATTTCCTTCCTCCTTCCCCATGCCTCTATTCCCCCCATTCCTCATCCTCTCGCTCCTCAAAGCCTATCCCCTTCCCCCCCTACCCTCCCCTCTACTCTTCCCACACCCCCCTCCTCAAAAAGAAAAAAAAAAAAAAAAACGCCCACTGAGGCATCTCCATTCCCGTTTTCCTGCCTTCAAGTAGAGAAGAGATTTAGAGAAAAAAATGGCAGGAAAGAGAGCGGGCGGCGGGCGGGCGGGCTGAGGCGCGGCGGCGGGCGAAGGAGGGAAGAGCACAAACGACGCGATGATTATTGGAAAACGATGGAATAAAATAATGAACATAAGACGGTCGAGAATTCCACCGGAGGAGAGGGATGATCTTTCGATAACTTGCAAAGTGATTCTTCCGGATGTCTGACGGAAGGGTTAAATTCCCGTGCCACCATTTTTTTTTTTTTTTTTTTTTTTTATAAGAAAAGGAATGTAATATCTTCTAAGGTGACTTTGCCGATTCCCATGCCACTGGAGATGGATAAATAAACTATGAATCTAATTTCTCCTGGTGTCCCTCCACCTGCCTCCACATGCATGGCTTCCACCTACATCTGCCTTCACCTGCCACCTTTCTCCACATGCCACTATCTCCAGCTGCTTTGCCTCCAGCTGCCTCCCCCCCCCCCCCCCTACATTGGCTCCAACTGCATCACTTCCACTTGCATCTGCCTCCACCTGCATTGTCTCTACCTGTTTTGCATCCACCTGTACCTGCAGCTTCCACTACATACTCTCTCCACCTCCACCTGCACCTCCTCCTTTGCATTTACAATCCCCCTACCTCCACCTACACCCCACCTGCCTCCTGCCTGCATTGCCTCCACACCATTAGCCATTTTGCATGAGTGTGTCCCTTATGAACGAACGAGCGAGTATATGAGAGGATGAGAGAATATGAACGTGTGAGTGCGAACATGTAAACGCACATGATCGTCCCTACATGAATAAGGTACACCACAATATATTTTCCAAAGTTTTATAACAAACACAGTATACAAAATACAACACACAAAGCCCGGATGCTCTCAGATCTGCATAATCTATTTATTAATCTGCTGATCAAAGCATCCGATGGCCGCAGGTATCCGTTAGAGCGGTGGTCAATCAATCTTAATTTCAAAAATGAATAAATAAACAAACAAATAAATAATTAAGGAAATGCATCCATCTAATATGTTACTCGCTCTCGGGGAATTCAAGGCCGAGGAATCGATGCACCTAATTACACATTTTACGCTGCCTCCTCGCAAAGAGTGGGTGCGCTGCCACCGTAATGAGCACCGCGCGAATATCAAAACTCAAGTCGCGCAGGTTGGGAGTTCGGCAAAACTCCAATAACAAAAAAGTATGAGTTCAATTATCTCGATTTTTTTTCTTTTGCCGCATCTCTTCAAGCGTTGTTGCATCCCAGGCGCACACAATCAGAAATGGAAGTATTTGTAAAAACTAAAAGAAAAAAAGAGAGAAAAAAAGTTTGTTTAAAATATATATAAAAACACGTATGCAATTAATTTCCAGCGCTGAACATTTCATAATTTCTATACTTAACATCTGCTAGATACTGATGGTCGCACAAATGAATTGAAATATGCAACGGGAAAAAGCAGGACATTTTACCTCATAAATTGCTCGCCCATCAATCAAATTCCCGCTCTGGAGGCCATATTTCCACGATCGTGTTGAAGCTTTCCTCATGACCACCGTATTTGTGAATAAACTGGATCCCCACTTTAAAACAAGGCGTTCGCGGCAACTTTTATTCCGCCAAGAGTTTTAACACAAACACACGGTATTTTACGCGCCATCGTCCCGTAGAGCGAAGCGAACCTGCTCCCTCCGCACGCGAGCAGTTAGGCCCACAGCCACGTGGAAGACGGACGCGCTCACGGCACTCCACTCACTGATAATGTATATTCATGTATGGATATATGTTCATATATGTATGTATATGTATGTATATATATATATATATATATATATTATATATATATATATATATATATATATAATTATATTTATATTATATATATACATACACACACACATACTAGTATATATATATAATATAATAAATATATATAAATACAATCTATTTATCTGCTATTTGGTTATTCATCTTTCCGTCGCAGGATCACTTCTCTCGTCACAATGCGCTACAAAATCCCTTCCTTTCTGAAAATAAATAAAATCAGGGATCCTCCATCTCGTCCACCCCCCCCCCCACCCCCGCCCTTAACCCTCCACCCCGACCCTGAGAATCCACCCGCACCCCGCCTCCCATGCACCCCGCCCCCCCCCAGGTGTACTCACCCCTGACGTAGAGGCTGACGAGGTTGCTGAAGGCGGTTCCCACGGAGTTCCTGGCGACGCACTCGTACTTGCCTCCGTCCTCCTCCGTGCTGGTGCTGATCTGCAGGCTCCCTGGGGGAAAAAATTAAGCAATTACAAAAATGGCAACAATAACAATAATAACAATGCAAATGTCAAAGATATACAATTTTGAACACTAAAGCGGCATAGCTGATACAAACGTTGCAAAAATAACAGTGACAAACAATTATGAGCATTGAAAGGCCGAACTGATAAAAATGGAAAAATGGCAACAATAACAATGTAAATGACAAAATAACGAATATTCAATTATGAACATCAAGACGCCCATCAGATAAAAATGTTGGAAAAACGCCAACAATGACAATAACAATGAAAATAACAAAATGGCAAACAGTGCAATCACGAACATTATGCAGATTTGCAGAAAGGGCAAATGTGAACTAAAAAAACATCCTGACAAATGATCAACTTCAACTTCTGGATTACCATTCAATACACATTTTTTTATAACATCATTATCACATTCATACTTTATATAGACACATACTTACTACCCTATATAAAAGAATATAAGAAAAATATATGCAAGAGGCTTTAAAACCTAATAGACACGCTCCTTAGAAACGCCCTTCTATAAGAATAAATTCAAAAACCATAGTTATTATCATTATTATCGGTTAAAAAGACGGTACAGGTAACTTTGCATAAGAGCCGCACTAACGAACAGGTGCGAAAATAAGGTACTCCAAGACACACACAGATAAAGGACTCGACAAGAGAGAGGAAGGAGATGGAAACGAGAAGAGGAAAGGGAGATGGTGAATGGAGAGAGAGAGGGGGAAGAAGGGAAGGAGAAAGGAAGGGAGATGGGAGGGAATAAGAGAAGGAGGGAGGGAAGAAGAGGGAAGAATAGAGAGGAAACGGGAGACAGGGAGAGGGAGATAGGGAGACGGTAGGAGGCAAGGAGGAAGGGAAGGAGGGAGAGAGGGGAAGCGAGAGACACTGAGAGGGAGAAGGTAGAGGTAGAAGGCAGGGAGGGAGGGAGAGATAGAGAAAGATAGAGATACAGAGACAGAGACAGAGAGAAAAAAGACCTCTCCCTATATAACAGAACCTCTTTATGCACAAGCAACGACAAACGGCCAATTCAGCATGACCTTCGCGAAACATATTGGACGCAAAAATAACCCCGTCCGAAAGAGGGCAGAGGTCATCCTGGGGTTAAAATACGACACTCGCCCTCGTTAACGAAAATCGATTCCAAAGAGAGAGGGAGAGAGGGGAAGAGAGGGAGAGGGAGAGAGGGGAGGAGAGGGAGAAGGAGCGAGAGGGAAGGAGAGGGAGAAGGAGCGAGAGGGAAGGAGAGGAGAAGGAGAGAGAGGAGGAGAGGGAGAGGGAAAGAGAGAGAAGGAGAGGGAGAGGGAAAGAGAGGGAGAGAGGGAAGGAGTGAGGAGAGAGAGAGAGAGAGAGAGAGAGAGAGAGAGAGAGAGAGAGAGAGAGAGAGAGAGAGAGAGAGAGAGAGAGAGAGAGAGAGAGAGAGAGAGAGAGATCGTCTCCCCCTATCTGTCGTAATGTCCTTCTACACAGCAACATGAATATCTCACTCAAATACAACAACACCACCGCCACCAACAACAACAACAAGAGGCCAAGCCCCACAAACGGCAAGTCAAGGGACAAGACAGAAGCAATAAACTGCGAGCGTCACAGTGTCACTGCACGTCACTCGCCGCCGCCTCTTGTCAACGCATGCGCAACGGGAGGTGTGACTTGAGTGTGGGAGAAGGGGCAGAAAATGGAAAAAGATCAAGGAGAGAAAGCGAAGCGAGAACGGGAAAGAGGGAGAAAGTAAAGGGGAGAAGAGAGAGAGAGAGAGAGAGAGAGAGAGAGAGAGAGAGAGAGAGAGAGAGAGAGAGAGAGAGAAGAGAGAGAGAGAGAGAGAGAGAGAGAGAGAGAGAGAGAGAGAGAGAGAAGAGAGAGAAAAAGAGAGAGAGAAAAAGAGAGAGAGAGAGAGAGAGAGAGAAAAGAGGAATAAACAGACAGAGAAACAGAAAACAACAACAGAAAGAACGATTCTCCACCACCACGACCACCCCCCCGTCCCCCTCACTGCACCCCATTCTCCCCAATCTTTCTTCAGTCCCCCCCCCACCCCCGACCATCGGCAGCCACGCATCACCTTCATCACTGCAAAAATGACAGCCCTATAAATTCTCTCTCGGTCCTCTCGCCGCCCGCCCTACGCCCACCGGCTCGCCCCTTTCTCTCCCTCTCTCCTTCTCTCCCTTCTCTATTCTTTCTCTTCCATTCTTATCTCCTTCTCTTTCTTCTCTCCTCTCTCTTTCACTCTTTTTCTCTTTCGCTCCCATTTCTATTTTTCTCTTCTCTCCTCTCCTTTCTCTTTAAGCTGGTCTTCCTCTGGTCTTATGGGAGGCTTTGTACCTGAGGAGAGATAGGGACATGGAGAGGGAACAGGAGCTAGGGGGAGGAGGAGGGAAAGAGGGGAGAGGGGAGGGGAGAGGGGAGGAGGAGGAGGAGGAGGAGGCAGGAGGGGTGAGGTGAGGAGAGGAGAGGAGGAGGAGAGAGAGAGAGGACGGAGGAAGGCAGGAGGAGGAAGAGAAGGAGGAGGGAGAGGAAAAAAGTAAGTGAACGGAAATGCAAAAAGGAGGACAAGAAAAGGAGGAGAGAGAAGAAAGGAAGGAAAAAGAGGAGGGGAGGAGGAAGAGACGGAAGAGGTGGCAAAACAGAAGAAAAGGAGGAGAAAGAGAAAGAGATGGAGGAAAGGAGGCAAGAGGAAAAGGAGAGGAGGAGGAGGAGGAGGAGGAGGAGGAGGAGGAGGAGGAGGAGGAGGAGGAGGAGGAGCGAGGAGGAGAGAGGAGAGGAAGGCCGGACGGCCACCGAATTCGTCTCTCCGATCCTCGAATTGCTCCGGTTTTTAATATCACATTCCGGGCGGGAACCACGGCGGGAGAATGGGGGGGAGGGAGGCGACGGGGAAGGGGGGGAAAGGGAGGGACAGAGGGACGAGGCGACAGAGGGGAAGGGGGGGGAGGCGGACGGAAGGGAAGGGGAAGGGCGAGGGAAGGAAGGCGAAGAAGGGAAGGGGGACGGGGGAAAGGGGCAGGGAAAGCGAGAAGGGGGAAGGGAGGCAACAGAGGGAAGGGAAGAGCGGGTAGGGGAGGAAGGAGGAGGAGGAGGGGAAGGGATGGGAGAAGGGAAGGAGCGGGGGGAAGGGAAAAAAAAGAAAGAAAGCGAGAGAGAGAGAGAGATGAGGACGAGAGGGTATAAGAAGTCCGCTATCTATTGCTCCGCACTGTGAAATTTGATGGATTTCCCCTCCGTCCCCCCCACCCCTACCCTCACCCCATCCCCACCCTATTCACCCTATTCCCTCTTTCATTCTTTCGATTATTTTCGCCATCTGCCCTTCGGATTATGGCTGCGGTTTCGAGTCCATTCAATATTTTCTTCTCTTCTCCTCTCTCCTCTCCTCTTTCCACTCTCTCTCCTCTCCTTTCATCTCCTCTCTTTCCTTTCTTCTCTTCTCCCTTCCTCTCCTCTCTCTCCCTCCTCTCCTCTTCCTCTCCTCCTCTTCCCTCTCCTCTCCTCTTCCCTCTCCTCTCCTCTCCCCTGCTCTCCTCTCCTCTCCTTTTCTCTCTCCTCTCTACTCCTCTCCACCTCTCTCCTCTTCTCTCCTCTCCTATCCCACCCTCTCTCCTCTTCTCTCCTCTCCTCTCTTCTCCCTCCCTTTCTCTTCGCTTTCTTTTCCTTCCCAATAACCCGCGCTCGTTCACGGTCAATGCAAGACGCAACGAACCCCGAGCAACTCCTTCAGGTTAAGAGAATTAAAATCACCGCATAAAACATAAAAATAATAATAATAAAAATAAATAAACGACTGAAAAATATAATAAATAAGAATAAGTGAAAATAAACAAGCAGATAAGGATAAGCGAGCAAACACGCATATGAAAATAAATGAAAAAAATAAACAAAGATAATGAGCAACCAGATAAAAAATAAATGAATAAAAAATAACAAACAAAATTAAGATTAATTAAGATTTAAAAAAAATAGCAAACAAATACATACAAAATTTAAAAATACAAATAAAAATAAACAAGCAAACAAACAAACGGAAACAAACAACCGAATAATAAATACACAAAAATCAGATAAACGAAGAAATAAATACGAACAAAAAGGATTTATTCCACCGGACAGACATGAACGGATAAGCCACGTGGCCGGTTCGGGAAGATTACTCGGCCGGAGAGGAGGCCAGGTCGCCGGCTGGGTCAGGCTTCATCGAGGTCACGGGGGGCGGGGAGGTCACGGGTCAGGTCACGCTTCAGGTAATGCTTCAGGTTACGGTTCAAGAAAATTTTAAGATAACTCTTTAGGTAATAGTTCAGGTCACGGTTAATGGTTCAGTCTCTTAACCGGTTCACTGGGATCACGGTTAAGGTAACGGTTCAGGTCCTGGTTCAAGCAATGGTTAAGTTCATGATTCAAATCACGATTAAGGTAACGGTTTGGGTAACGATTAAGGAAATGGTTCAGGTCAAAGTTAAGGTCACGGTTCAGGAAAAGGTTAAGGTAACGATTAAGTTAATGACAAGAAAATAAAGAAAACTTAAGGTTAAAGAAAGGCAAAGAACATAAAGGATCTTAAGGAAAGTAATGGACAGTACAGGAAGGTAAAGAAAGAAAAAGGTAAGTCATGGTAAAGGTAAAGCCAAGGTAAGAAATACGACACCAGTGGGTAAAGTAAGGCAGAATAAGGTATAGCAAAGCATAAAAAAGCTTAACATGGAAAGGCAAATTAAAGTTTGGAGAGGAAGGTAAGGCAGGCAATATGGCAAGTAAGAGAGATAGCATTTTAAATGGAGGAAGAAGGGGAATGCAGGGGTAGGGTGGGACTGAAAGGAAGGAGAGGGGAGGGGGAGGGCAGGAGAGAATGCGAGGGGGGAGAAGGAAAGAGAGTCGAGGAGATGGGAGGAAGAGGGAGAGAGAGAGAGGGGAGCAGAGAGAAGAGAGAAGAGAAAGAGAGAAGACAACGGGGGGAGGGAGAGAGAGAGAGAGAG